ATAGCAATTAGCACTCTGAGCACTCGTAGGCCTTGGAGGCATTCTCCTTTAATTGTCCAGCAGGCTAGAGCAGGAAATTTATTCTTCTGTTTTACTGTTAGGAAAACAGGCTGACAGAGGTGACCTGTTCAAGGTCATGTGGCCGTTAAGAGGGTGGAGCCAGGATTGGAGCTGAGACCCTTCTCCTCCTACATCTGTGCTTAGAACCTCTGGGCCACCTGCCCCTCAGTTCCCCAGCTTTGGCCAGTCCTTCCCTGTAGCCAGAGCCTTGCCTCAGACCCTACAAGTGAGAGCCCGTCTCTGCCCTGGCTTTAGGGTACTGGAAAGAAAGAGGTGGTTAAGAAGGTCTGGGTCTGTCTGCAGTGGGGACTGTGGGCCATCCGGCAGCTGCCTTCCCAAGGATGGCTGGGAGCTGTCTCTGAGGGCTCAGCATGACAGGGCATCCTCCAGAAGGGTCCAGCCCACCCCACCCCAGGGCCTGCCCTAGCCCTTTCCCCGCCCCAGGAGAGGGGCGAGGGCAATGTGGAAAATGCTCCCGGTCTGTTTCTGGGCTGTGGGAAGCCGGCCTGGGGCTAAATTGTTTTTATTTAACGTGTGAGATTGAAATGTCTCCTTTTCTCCCCTCCTGGAGAACCCTGGCTTTCTCTAACTGGCTCATCCATAATCGCCAAGTGTTTTATTATGTTAAATCTGTAGCATCATAAATACTTATGAGGAGGATTTACATTTTGGAGACTTATGAAGAAATCAGTCCCCTGGGGTCCTGAGCCCTCATGAGTGGAGTGTGGGGAGGGAGCTGACATCCTGAGTATAGCTGGCAGCCCTCTCCAAGAATCTCATGTCACTGTGACCTGCCCCAGCATCCTGTCACCTCAGCCATCCCCTGCTATCCCTTGTCCCTGAGAAGAACCACCAACCCCAGGGTAGCACTTGTCTAGACTTTCCCTAAAATTGCAACAGTGTTACCACCCCCTGGGTCACTGTTGCGGCTCAGGTGGGAGAGGCAGAGAGTAAGGCAGTGTGCCCCCATCAGTGGATGTGAGACGGGCTTGGATGGGCACATTTCATAAAGCTTCACTAGCATTGAAAATAGCCCCAGGCAAGATCCCTGAGGGCCTGGAGCCCATGCTCAGAGGCTCCAGCCAAGAATGGGTTCTGCAGCTGCTAATTAGCAGGCAAAGAGGAGACCTGTGCAGGTGCGGGACCTCATGGGGAAGCAGAGGCAGAGTGGGGCACTGCGTTGCTTTTGTAATGCATTGGGTGTTTACCTCCTCCTCTCCAACTCAGCCCTCATCTCCCCGTCTTGGGGGTGCCTGGGTAAGAAGCCCCCCAGCTCTCGCCACGGCAGCTTTCCTGTTCGAGCAACTATTTACCTTTTCGTGACAGGCACAGGGGAGCTTCCTTGATGCCAGCCACCTTCCTGGGGTGGCCTTTTTCTGCACTGCTTCTGTGAGGAGGTGGTGAGAGGCAGAGGCCATTCCCAAGGCTGGCTGGAATCTCTGCTGATGTTTACAGCTGTCGCCCTGCCACGCTGAGGGGGGCAAGAGGCAGAGAGCGACAGGGAGGTTGAGGCCCAGCGTGCACTGCTGATACCCCTTGCTTGTCAATTTGTGTGTCCAGCAGATACTTAACAGGTACCTGCCAGGCCCTGTGCCAGCCCTGGGGGTGGGAACGAGACAGGGCTCTGTCCTCGCGGTGCTTCTCATGTCTCCTAGCCTGTCCTCAACCTTTTTCTTGCCCTGAGGAACTGCTAGAATTTTTGGGCATTTGTTCCCAGGCTCTCTCTCCACTTGAATTTTTTCAGATTTAGACTCATAAACTGGAAGAGACCTGAACATTCTCTTGTCCCACTGCTTCTTTTTCAGAATGAGGAACTGAGGTTGAGAAAGGTCAAATACTTGCTTGGGGTCACACAGTGAATTGGTGGCAGGGTTGGCAGGGCTTCTGCATCCTGACTCAGTCTCTGAGCCCCTGTGGCTCTTATCTTTGGGGTGCGTGGGGAAGCTCCAGCAGCTGGGAGAGTGGGGGGCACTGTGTGATAGGCTTGAGTGTACAGGATCACCTACAGCATCAGAGGTAAGGCCTGACTACCAGCCTCCAGGGCACCTGGTGTGCACTTAAAATCGATACTCTGGTCCCCCTGGGGTCTAGGTGCTCCACCTGGCTGCCCACCAGCTCCTGCCCAGGCTGAGGCCCCCGCAGACCCTAGGAAGTTATGTCTTGCTGTGGAGTTCCTCAGAAACAGACCCTGGAACAAGAATTCAAGTGCAAGTAGTTTATTTGGGAGGCCAAAGTAGGAGAGTGGGGAGACCAGGAAGGAATGGCAGCCAATAAAGGATGCATTATCCAGCCAGCTCCCACAGAAGGTGGCCCAGCTTCACCTGCCCAGAACTCTGGCCACCAGTGTGGAACACACACCCAAGGAGGATGGAGCTGGGTATTTATCCACCCACTTCCCCAGCATTGGTTGAACGCTGCTCTTGGGAAGTAAGGATTACCTGCCACTTGCAGCCTGCTTCCTGGTAAGAGGGGAGGGCATGTGGGCAGGGCACCCATAGCCCGGAGGTGGAGTTTCCGACCATGTCACTCCCTACCTGGAAACCCTGGTGTGCCTCTTTGTGTTGAGTGGCACTCCTGGTAACAAGTGAAAGAGACACAAAAAGGATATTCTCATTCTTTCCCTGGAAAGTTAAAGTCAGGCCTGCCTTCATAGTTGGATCTAGGGGAGTGCAAACATTCCCCAGGGCTCTCCTCACCCACTCTCCCTGGGCTCTGTGTGCATCTGCTTGGCTTCATCCCTAATGTGGCCTCTCCCCATGCAGCTGGCCAGCTGGTGACCAGCAGCCCCCGGCACAGTCATAGCAGATTGCCAGCTTCTCTCCACCTTTGAGTCCAGGGACGACCCTGCCTGGGTCACATGCCAATCCCTAATCCAGTCCAGTGGCCAGTGGCGTGGGATACTCTGATCACCCCAGACTGGGCCACGTGCCCTCATTTGTGGCTGGGTTGGTGTGGACAATATGACTGGCCACCTCCGCAGGACAACTTGGCATGGAAGGAGTGCTCCTGAGGGGCGGGATGCTGGTAGACAAAGACTGCATGCCCACTCCACACCCCACCCTGAGCATCAAGTCTTGGCGTTTACCAGGTGGACAAGGCCCTCCAGGGCAGGGCTCCGTGTCTGTCCAGCCTCCTCCACTCCAATCTCACCTGCAGCCAGAGTCCATTTCAATTCCCTGAATGTGCTACGCTCTCTCTCACAAGATACGTGCACTTAGATCCAGACACATCTTACACTCCAGCTTAAGTATCGCCTCCAAAAAGCCTATGAGATGCTCAGGGTGGGTTTTGTGCCCCTCAAATGTGTCCAGGATGTGCTGTGGCCCTGCTGATGGAGCACTTTGCACACTGGAACAAAATACTTGTTCATCTGTCCTGTGTTCCAGATGTCCTGTGTCCCAGGTGTCCAGCACAGTGCTGGACACACAGTAGTTTGGCCATCCATTTGTGGAATGAACACACCAGAGAGGAGGCGTGTTAGCAGACAGCCATGCGCTGGGGCTCAGCAGACCTGGGTCCACATCCCAGCTCCCCACGGACTCACACCACAACCTTGAACTATCCCTTCACTTGGGCTTCCTTCTACCCCTGACAAAGCAGAGGCAGCACTGGCTCTCCCTTCAACCAAGGATTGGAAGGAAACTCAAATTAGCCTGGGGCCACAAAAGCACTTCAAAAAAATTCTTTCTTGCCTTTCATGCTCATCATTTCGCACCTATTTATGTACATATTATTTCTTTCTACCTTTCAGGTCTTTCCTTTTCATCCAAAGGAAATGTGTGTATAACTAATCTGGCTTTTCTCCTAGCCCTCACCCACTGGTTAGCAGGAAACTTAACAAAACATCCAATCCGGTTTAAAGCTTAGTCTAATCTGATGATTTAAACAGCCCCTTCAAATGATGTTCTCTCTCCCTGGAATAAAAATTCAGTTTCTCAGAGAGCCAGGCTTCCCTGCTTCTGCCTGCAGTCAGTGTCTTGGCGGTTGGGGGCTGGGAGGGGTGTATGCACATGCAGAAGTGGAGTAGGGATTGGGGGCTGGCTTTGGGCTGCACAAGCTTAGCATCAGCTGCTGCCCGTGACAATTGAGACCATCGCAGGGGCATCCTTCTGCCCTGGCCTCCTGTTCTGGACCACCTAGATTTCTTTCATTCCAGGGGAGGGAGTAGACTGTCACTCTGAGAACACAGACTGCAGTCAGACCTCCTGAGTTCACAGCTGACTGACCTTGAGCACGTTCCTTAGCCTCTCTGAGCCTGGTTTCCTTATCTATATATGTGGGATAGGTAAGAATACCTATTTTGTAGAGCTGGTGTGAGAGTTCAATGAGTTAGCATTTAGAAAACACTTAGAAGAGTACCTGGCACAAATTAAGTGCTGTCTGAGTGTGTGCTGTGGTAACAATGACGACAGGGACGATGACTTTCTTCCCTTCTCCCTCTTCCCCTCCCCCTACTGCTAAGTCTGGGGAGAAGGAGGCCCAGTGGGTGGTTGCTCTGTTTAACACTAGACAAAGCCAGTGGGAGCTCAGCCCTGTGGCAGGAGGACCAGGGGTCTTGCCTCAAGAACCCTCATGTCCTGTCTTTGAACCTTACAGCAAGATGGAAAGAAGCAGCATCCAAGAGCATTTGCCCTGAGCTGAGCGCTGCTCCCTGGCTCTATATCCTCCCCTCCGGAGACCCTCACAACCACCCCTTCAGGGAGATTGATTCTCCTTTCTGTTGTACAGATGTAGAGGCTGAAACCAGAGTGATTGAGTCGCTTATCCAAGGCCACACAGCCTGAGAGCTCAGAAGGCAGGATTCAGCCCCAGGCCTCCTGACTGCATAGTGGACGGTCCCAGCCACTGAGCACACCTGCATCACTTAAGAATGTTCACCAACCCCGGCCTGGCATGATGCCCAAGGGAGTCTCTAACCACTTCCAGTATCCTCACTTTAGGGTTCCAATTCATGTCCGTGTGCTGGCCTCGCTGACTGTCATGCTGGCCATCTTCGTGGTGATGACTGTGCTGGTGAAGGTGGACACCTCCTCCTGGACCCACAGCTTCTTTGCTGTCACCATCATCTGCATGGCGATCCTCAGTGGCACCTCCATCATCTTCAGTAGCAGTGTCTTCGGCATGACTGGCTCCTTCCCTATGAGGAATTCCCAGGCTCTGATATCAGGTGAGAGCTGGGGTCCAGACAGCTTATCAGGTCTGTCCACCTTGGAGTCATTGAAAGGAGCCAGAGGTGAGCATGTGGTAGCCCTTCCAGAAAAGAAAATGAGTGTTAGGCGTGTCTCCCTGATCAATTATTGTGTAACAAAGCACCCCAATACTTAGTGGCTTAGAAAAGTAACAGTCATTTCTTTTGCTCACAAATCTGCAGTTTACTGGAGTTGGCGGGGCCAGTTCTCCTCTGCTCCACGAGGTGTCAGTCAGGATAGCTCACCTAGGGCTGGAGGACCCACTTTCAAGATGGCATGCTCACCTGGCTGGAAAGGGGGTGTGGGCTGTTGGCTGGAAACTTAGCCAGGGGTGGGGCTGGGGCCCAGGTTCCTCTCCATGTGGACCTCACCATGGCCACTTGGGCTTCCCCATGGCATGGCGTCTGGGTCGCAAGAACCAGCATCCCAAGAGACCCAGGCAGAAGCATTATTTCCTTTGATGACTTAGCTGTGAAAGACATTTAGGGTCACTTCCACTATAGCTGTAAGTCCACCTGGATTCAAGGAGAGAAAACACAGACCCGCACGTCTCAGTGGGTGAGTATGAAAATCATACTGTGAAAAGAGCAGGTGGGAGAGGACACGTAGCTACAGCTGCTTTTGGAAAATACAATCTGCCTACCAAGTGCATTTCCTGAACCAGTGTTCCTCTCTTTCCTTCCCTCCGCCCCCACCTTTCTCCTGTCCCCTCCCCTTCTCTTTATTTTTCCTTTCCCTGACCTTGTCCCTCTTCTTTGCTCCTTCTTTCCCCTCTTCTGTCTGTCTGTCTTTTCTTCCTCTCTAATTTTATAGAAGATCAACTATGTGTTGGAGATTCAAAGATGACAAGACTCAGCCTCCCAGGAGCTGACAGCCTAGTAATAAACTCCTCCATTACCCTGAACTTCGGCATTTTACGGGGGTGCCGATGTGTGACTTGGGTCAGCTCCTTTAACTGAAATTTTAATGCTAACCTAAGTCTGTTGTCTTAACCTTAGCAATTCTGTTCTCTGACCCAGATGTCTCAACAAGATAAAAGCGAGCTGGTCAGTAAGAATCTGGGCTTTCCCAGGAGACCACCACCCCTTAAAAAAAGACTCAGCTGCTCTGTTCAGTGTCTCTGCATATCTGTGTTTTGTGCAGGAGTGCTGTAAGCATTTGCCCACTTGAGAAGAATTTTGCAAAGAATCTGCTCTGTACCCATTAATTGCTAATGAAAAGTAGTATGTGACAGGGATGACAAACACTACAAGTGTATATCCCCTCCCTATTCCCACAGCAGTGCCAGACATCACTAATTGATCTGTATCTTTCCTCCTAAGCTTCTAAATCCTTCTCAGCATAGCCCTGGAGACAGTTTTTATCAACAGAGCAGAGTTCAGATGTGAGCTCAAATCTGTTTGACATTTTTGATATAAGATTGGGCTTCTGGCTATATCCTAGGAGAAAACCTTTGGGTCTAAAATAAAATAAAAGTGGACTCATTGCTAAGTTTCCTGAGTACAATCCACATGCCCCTGGCAAAGCTTCAAGAAGGGCATGCCTAGGCGGAGGGAAGTGGCCACCAAACATTGGATTTAATCTCCTCTGTTATCCTGATCTCAGAGAGAAGTTCTTTCCCCTCATCTCCCTCCATCCTGCTGGAGGATGTATTTTTCAGTATAACAGCCTTGCTGGCTACCTCTCCAGGAGTCAGTGACCAAACACACCGTTTATGTTGGCAAGGGGCCCTTCACGTTCATCTGGCCTCCCTCGAATCTTCCAGAGGAGACTTCTGTGACTTTAAGAAAGTCCATTTTTGAAAAAGTGGAGAAATCTAGTCCTCACACTTCAGTGTTAATTACCCTGGGTCCTAAGCCCTCGTCATCAGTGAGTGCAGTCCCCAGTGGGTGCCCACCACCCTGGAAGATCGGAGGTGCCTTGATCTCCCACTGGCCCCAGCGCCACCCACCAACCCCCGTTGTTTTCTGTCCAGAGGAGCCCATCTGTGAATTCTGTGTGTGGAGGCATCTGAGGAACAATTCATTTGTTTTGTACTGGTGTTTTTTTAAGCCCCTTATTTGCATATATTTCCATAACTGATGAGATAAAAGTAGGGAGTCATGAAGGATGAGTTCCCGGAGGCCTGGTTTGTTGTTGATGATAATATTGTAAATTCTCTACAAGTTGGGAAGAGAGAGAGGAAAATCAATAGGCAGTGATGCTAAGATCTCTTCCCTGGGGCAGCCGGGGAATGTCTTACTGAGTTTAACTGCAGTTCTTACAAAACACCCAGGTGGGGATTACAGCTTCTCAGAAGTTGGCACCCTCTTGGCAAAGGGTTTACCCTGTTGTTGCTGCTTTGATGTAGGAAGGACAGAAATATCCAAACACCTCATTGGGAATCTGAGAAGATTTATATGGCACTTCTCAGTGCCAAGCACTATTCTACTTTACATGTAATGATCCTTTTAATCTTCGTATCAGCCCTAGGAGGTTGGTCTTAACATCCCCATTGTACAGATGAGGAAATGGAGGCACAGAGAGGTTAAGTGACTTGCTGAAGGTCACACAGCTAGAAGTGCAAAAGCCAGGATTGGCCTCAGATGTTTTGATTCTAGAGTCTATGTTGTTAATCACTATGCTAACTTTCATATATTTGCCCTCCCTTCAAATCCCAACCTCCAGTCCCACCCAGGCTAATAGAACTCATATAGAGAAGACTGGGAGCAAAGGGCCATGGGCTGTTCCCTGCAGAGCCACAGAGATGTTGGGCAGAGTGTGGGTGAGGCAGTGAGGAGGGGCTTCATGGTGGGCGAGGGCCTGAACTGTCCCTCTCCGCCTTCTGCTCCAGCAACACTGGGCAGAAAAGTGGTGCCTGGTCAGAGCTGCCACGCAATGACAAAGCAGTTCATACCCCCATGGACCAGTTTGCTGTTTGCAGTCAGTGGCCTTCTTACCTCTTGGAAAATCAATATCCTGATCCTCTAATGCAGGCAAATCCATCCATGCAGCCAACTAACCCTGTATTCACCAGGCACTTACTGTGTTGATCCCAGTGGACTTTCCATGTATTCAGTGTTTTTTTTCCACTCACTGTCTCCATTTCCATCCCACTACAGTCTCATGGGGAGGGGGGATAGGACAAGTTGTTAGCCCCATCTTCCAGGAAGATAAACAGAGGCAGAGAGGAGTAATGATCTGCTCACATGTGTACCATGTGTAAGCTTTGACTCAAGGCCAGCACCACTTGACTACCCACAGTTGTCAGGGTTCAACAGAGAAGAAAGACACAGCTCTGCTTCCCAGAAGTGATTGTGTGATTGTGGCAAAGAAGGGGGCTGGCACCCCAATCCCAAGAGATCATTTACAAAGAGGACCTAAAGGCCATGGAGCTAGTTCCTGGGGAGCGGTTGCTCTACCACTTGTTTTGTGGTGGCTCCCACACCCCTAAAGGTCCTGTGGAGGTCCAGGAGGCAGTGTCCCTCCCAGGACAGAACAATGTGTGTGCCATGCTCCCTAAGGGCATCACCCAATATGGCATCTTAGAACTTGCCTGGAAGAGCATGCCCCAAGCTGACTGACACCTCACCAGGAATTGCCCTTCATCATTGTTCCTAACCCCTAATTTGGGACTGGAGGGACAGGACTTTCCATTCTCACCTGGAGAAAGGCCTTGTCACCAGAATCTAGCCCTTTATCCCCACACGGAGATAGGGCCATGCCAAAGCCCTTTCCCTACCGAGCTCCAGAAACCAGCTTTTATATGTGGAATAAAAGGTAGGTTCTCGTTAAAAAAAAAAAAAAAAAGCAGCTAGCATTTGTTGAATGCCCACTATGTGCTAGGCCCTTTCTGAGCATCATCTCAGTCCTGAAAGCAGCTAAGCCAGGCAGGTGTCATTGTCCCCAATTTATTGATGAGCAAACTGTGGTCCCAAGAAGTCACATTAGCCCCCAGGTCACAAGAGCAAGTGGCAGAGTCAGGTGTCAGATGTACATCTGTTTGGCTCCTGGCCCCATGGGTCCGCTCGGCTAGGTTGTGCTGCCTCCTCTATTAAGTAGCAGAGAAAGGTGAGGTGTCACATGGGCCATGTGTCAAAGCCATTGGCAGAAGAACACATGCCATGTGGTGGGACAGTTGCATGCATGGGAGCATGTGTATGCACGCAAGAGTGTATGATAGCGTGGTGTGAGCATATATGAGTATGTGTATGTGTGAGAGTGTGTGGTAGTGTATGTGTGTGTGATAGGGTATGTGTGCGAGCATGTGAACTTGTATAAGAGTGTGTGATAGCATGCTGTGTGAGTATATGAGCACGTGTATGTGTGAGAGCACGTGGCAGTGTATGTGTGTGAGTCTGGGTGTGTGCACGCGCGTGCACACGGGTACGGTGCCACATCTGCTGTGGGGTACAAGGTAAGCTCCACGAGCTCCCGGGTGGACAGCATAGGAGTTTCTAGCTGGGAAGGACACCCCGGATCGCCAGCCTCGCTCGGAGGCAGCGGGAGGGCCATGCTAGGACAGGCCCTGAGCCTCTTTCCACGGTAGGTGGCGGGTGGTCTGGGCTGAGAGCAGGGAAAGCCCCTCTGAGATGTCCGGCCACGGAATCTAAAATGCCTGACCTACCAGGGGGCAGTAAAGAGAGATGGAAGGTCAAGGGTCAGAGGTGAAACCCGGAAGCAGTTGGAACCTTGGAGGCCACTTGCCGCCTCAGGCAGCAGCCTCTTGCCAGCCCAACAGGGAGGAGCTGGGCTCGGGACACCCTTGTCGGGTCAGAAAGCTCAGGGCTGCCCGACCACTCAGTGTCCGCCAAGGCCTCAGGGTGCTGTGAGGCCCGTGGCGTTTCTCTCAGCATGGAGAACTTTTATTTTGGTTCTGTGAAGCCCGAGCAGAGAGGGCAGGCCTGAGACTAGGGAGGCCGGCCCCGGCCTGACCGCGTGTGGTGTCCCGCGCTCTCCGCAGGAGGAGCCATGGGGGGCACCGTCAGCGCCGTGGCCTCGCTGCTGGACCTGGCGGCGTCCAGCGACGTGACGGACAGCGCCCTGGCCTTCTTCCTGACGGCGGACGTCTTCCTGGCGCTCTGCGTGGGGCTCTACCTGCTGCTGCCGCGGCTGGAGTACGCCAGGTGAGGCCCGCCGCTCGCTGTCCCCGTCGCTCGCGTTCTGTGGAAGCTGTACCTTTATACCGTCTACGCGCGCGGTCTTCTGGCCTCTAATTAGAGGTCGTGTTTGTTTCCTGGTTTGCTGCCATCTCCCTACTGGAAGGTGATTCCCCCTGAGGGCAGAAACTGTGCATTTTGTTTGCTGCTGTATCTGCTGTACCCCTGCCTTGGGCTGTGCCTGGCTCCTGGTAGTCGCCCAGCAAGTTGGCTGGGCTGGTGGGTGTGAGAAGTGGGCTTTGTGCCGCAGCCCCAAGTGAGTGGGGTCTGCACGTTTTCCATCAGAGAGGGCAGGTGGCCGAGGTAGGACCTGAGGCCCCATAATGGTGAGTAGTAGTTCCTTGCTCTGCGCTCAGCCCAGCCTGAGGGGATGTCGCTCTTTTAAAGCTTACACACCTGTTCCTTGTCAGGGGCAGCACTGTGACTTGTCATGACTTCCCACCACTTGCGAGAAAACCCAGCTCAGAGAGGTTGACATCCTTACCTGAGTCCCACAGCCCATCCACAGCAGAATCAGGATTTGAGCCCAACTCCAAACTTGGGTTTTTAACTCCTGTCTCTCGGGGCCTCTCTCTACCCTGCAGGATCTCTTGCCTTAGCCTCTCTCCTGTTTTCTCTCTCTCATTCCTCCTTTTTCTTTCTTGCTTCCTCCTGCTCTTGAAAAAACAACCCTTGACTTGTTCTTGCATGTTATTCTTTTCAGTGCCTGTTCATATCCATTGTCTTATTTGATGTGGGAAAGGCGGGCATTATCTCTCCCATTTTGCAGGTGAAGAAACTGAGACAGAGAAGGCCTGGTGATTGGCCTGTGGTCCCATGTGTGCCAGCGGGTCCTGGCTCTGCCCACCCCACGGGGGCCTATTTGGTGTGTTGGCACTGAGTTAAGCAGTTGATGCGTATATTTTTTTCACTTAAGCTGTATGACAATCTTGTGCAGTTTTTACTGTATTTTCCCATTTTATCGATGAGGAAACTGAGGCTTTGGAGCATTAACAGATATGCCCAGGTTGCTCACCTGCTGAGTCATAGGCAGGCGGTGGAACCCAGCGCTGTTTCCACTGCATCATGCTGCATCCCTGGCTTGCGACAGCCAGGTCCTTCCTCACCACTCATTCCTCCTGTTCCTGTGAGAGTTGCCTTGTTAATCCCAAGTCCCGTGCCTTCACTAGAACCCCAACTCTGCTGGGGCAGGTTGCTCTCCCCAGTTAGAGGATTGTTGTAACTTCAGCTGGCCTCCGTGACCTCAGGGGGATAAAAGGGGACTGAGTGATGATACCATGTTCCCACTACCAAGGTGGCTACAGACCCATGCGCCTGCCTGTCCCCTCCCCTGCCCCTTCAGTGCTGTCATCAGAAACTGCCCAGTTGTGCTGCAGGATAATGTCCCTGTGATTCACGGTCCCCCCACCCCACTCCATATACTGCCTGGCACCGTGTCACTGTTCATTAAATTATTCTGAGTCACTGAATAAACAGTAGGCAGAAGGTTCCCACCACTTCTGTTGTTTCCCTGTGTCCTGTTTCAGAGAGCCTCACATGAGCTCTTTCTGGTGGGGTGGCCAACCTTCCTTGTTTGCCTGGGACTGAGGGGCTTTCAGTGCTAAAACCAGGACAGGTTCTCCCTAGCTTTTGGTCTCATTGAGCAGGCCAGAATCCTTTCCAGATGAGCATGTGAGAGAAAGAACACCCAGGGCTCTGCCAGCCCATGGAAGTTTCTATTTCTTTGCTGATTAACACCTTGGTCAAGATTTCTGGGTTTACAGAGACTCATCTGAGGATGGAGCTTTGCAGCTGTGCTCCCAGGGCTGCTCATACTAAATCTTACTGAAAAGGTAGCCACAGGTGTTGCACCCAGGAGGGCTGGACTGGGCTTCCCCAGCCCACTCAGGACAAACTGAGCCTCATGTAGTTTTGGAGGCTGCTGACTACAGTAGAGTAAGATGGGGCAGTTAGATGTGGAAGAACTTATGAGGAAGAGCTTCGACCAGAGGAACTTGGTGGGGAGCTTCCTCAGAGCAGACTAAGGCAAGAACCTAATGCCGAGCAGAAAGGGAAGTAAGATAGTCCTTTCCTTAAATAGTGATGGGGAAGGTTCAAGGCCCAGCTCAGCATCACATGGAAAAGTAATTCTGGGGAGGAATCCTCCCACTGAGTCACATGTTAGCAATCTGTAGGCTTTTAGGATGGGAGGACTGGCAGGGTTCTTAGAAGCTTACAGCTACAGAACCCCTCCATTTTATAGAGGAGGAAACTGAGGCCCTAAAAGAGGAGTACCATGCTTAAGGTCACAGGGAGAGGCAGAATTAGGGCTGAAACCAGAACTGATATCACCTACCTACAGTTCTCTCCCTCCCCATGTCAAGTCTTCTGCTTGAAGTATGTTAATATAGTTAGCTTACGTCTCCTGGTTTTTAGGCGCCCAAGGCTCAGGTCACACAGCAAGGCAGAGATCCAGGCTTTTCAACTTTGGTCAGAGTAGCAGAAATTGAAAAAAACTGATCATATTCAGTGTTGAGTATATTGGGGAAGAGACACTTGTATAGGCTTATCAGCTCTTTCAACAATTATGTTTTGGAGGGTTATTCCGTGACTGGAGATTTAGCTGAAAACAGCTAAACATGTCCTTGCCTCAAGGAGCTGTCCTCTGTTGAAGGAGACAGATGATAAACCAGTCACCTAACACAATGATTATAAATTATGGCCAGTTCTTTGAAAGAAACAGCTCCCTTCATGGAGATTGAAGGGTCAGGTTACTTTAGTTAGGGTGGGTAGGTGGTACAGAGCAGAGATAAATTGGTTCTACCTACTGTAGAGCAGTTTATCAATATCTATCAAAAATTGTAAAGTACAAACCATGTGATCTAGCAGTTCTAGAAATCTGCTCTACTGGAATACTAGTATAGGTGTGCAAGGATTTGTGTATAGGGATAGTCATTGCACCATTATTCGTAGTAGAGAAAAACTGGAGCTAACCTAAATGTCCATCATTAGGGGAGCAGTTACATTGTATATCCATACAGTGACATACCCTGCAGTGTAGAGACAGAGAGCCATGTGTCTCCGGGTGAAAGGATGGCCACAAGATACAGTTCTTTAGGCAGTTGTCTGTATGCATGTATGTATAATAGCTATGCATGTATTTAGGTAGTTATGTAATGTATTTATATATATTAGTTATATATTTAGGAATTACATGGTTGGAAAAAGTCTCATAGTGTATATATATATATATAGTTTGATCCCACTTTTGCTTAAGGAATGTAACTGTGTGTGATGTTTGCACGTGCATGGAGCAATATACATAAGACTTTTTTTTGGCAGGAGGTGGTGGTGATTAGGTTTGTTTGTTTGTTTGTTTAATGGAGGTACCGGGGATTGAACCCAGGACCTTGTGCATGCTAAGTACAAACTCTACCACTGAGCTATACCCTCCCCCAGCACCAGACTTTTAACGGTCAGTGCCTCTAAGGAGTGAGGCCAGAGGTGGGGGGGTGAGAGTTCTTATTTACCTATGTCATTCCTCTTCTGCATTATTTGGGTTCATCACATCAAGCATGTGTTACTTTTATAATTTAAGATTTTAAATTATTCTGATAATTTAAAAAATAAATGCTACTTTATCTCCACCCCCTCCCCCCCAAAAAAACTAACAAAAATAAGTAAATAAGTGAGCCAAGACTGGAGCCCAAGCTCGCCATGCAGTGACCAGTGCTGGTTTCCTCTGTCCCTGCTCATGGCACGGCCACCACCACAGGACAAAGGACTGGAGTCCAGCCTTCCAGGCTGTGCCAGGACAGGCAGGCCAGGGACTGTGCGGGCCTCCCTCTGGCTGCCCTGCCACACTTGTGTCATCTGAGGCATCCCAGGACTGTGGGCCATCGGGAGTTTAGGCTGTACCTGCTGGACCTGAAGATCCCCCCCACCTTGTCCCTGGAAATCCCAAGGGACCCTGCTTTCCAGGCCCTCTGACCACTAGCCTCTCCCCTGCAGGTACTACATGAGGCCTGTTTGGCCGGCTGTGTTTTCTGGTGACGAGCAGATGCCCCAGGACTCTGCCAACCCCCTTTTGGTGGTCCCAGGATCCAGTGACTCCCCAACACCACCTCTCCGCCCCATCCTGAAGAAGACGGCCGGCCTGGGCTTCTGCATCATCTACCTCCTCTTCATTACCAGCCTCATCTTCCCTGCCATCTCCACCAACATCGAGTCCCTCAACAAGGGCTCAGGCTCGCCGTGGACCACCAAGTTCTTCGTCCCCCTCACCACCTTCCTCCTGTACAACTTTGCCGACCTGTGCGGCCGGCAGATCACAGCCTGGATCCAGGTGCCAGGACCGAAAAGCAAGGTGCTCCCAGGGCTCGTGCTCCTCCGGACCGGCCTCGTCCCCCTCTTCATATTCTGCAACTACCAGCCCCGTGTCCACTTGCAGACAGTTGTCTTCCAGTCTGATGTGTACCCAGTGCTCTTTACCTCCCTGCTGGGGCTCAGCAACGGCTACCTTAGTACCCTGGCTCTCATCTACGGGCCCAAGATTGTGCCCAGGGAGCTGGCCGAGGCCACGGGGGTGGTGATGACCTTTTACCTGTGCTTGGGCTTGGTGCTCGGCTCAGCCTGCTCTACTCTGCTTGTGCACCTCATCTAGGAGAGGGCGATGACTGGACCTCGGTGCCGCACAATGCCTGGGAGCCTGGGTGAGACAGGG